GGGGAACAGGCACGGGCACGGCTGCGAGGGGGCGGGCGAGACGCGGGGGCGCGTCCGCGGAGGCTGCGGCAGCGCCGCGGGCAGCGGGCAGGGAGGGAAGCGGGCAGGGAGRGAAGCGGGCAGGGAGGGARRSGATCGCTCCACCGAGCCCAGCGGCGCTGCCACAACCGAGCGCGGGGATGTGGAAGAGTGTGTGCGCGCACGGGCAGCGCTGGGACCAGGGAGWGAAGGTAGTCCCGTCTGGAAACTGAGGTGGGAAAAAGATATTGAAAAACAAAATAAACTCGGCTTGTTCGTCGTCTGTGGGAAGATGGAGAGCGACTTTTTACACGGGCCGATAGTCATCGGACAAGGGGAGCAGTTTTAAASTAAAAGAGAGATTTAAATTAGATGTTAAGTAAGAAATTGGTAGCGAGGCACTGGAATAGGTTGCCCAGAGAAACTGTGGATGGCCCATCCCTGGAGGTGTTCAAGGCCAGATTGGATGGGGCCCTGMACAACCTGGTCTGGTGGATGGCATCCCTACCCTTGACCAGGGGTTTGGAACTAGATGCTCTTTAAGGTTGCTTCCTACCCAAATCATTCTATGTTTCTGTGTTGTGGTGTGAGTGTCAGCAGGCAAATCGAGAATTAACAGCTGCATTGGCATTGCTGARCCTTGGTGAATATTGAGCAGCTTGTGGCTGCACGAAAGTCATGTTTTTGAGGCGTTTGTGAGCATTTGATTGGTGGAAAGAGTGTGTGCTGCTGAATTAGAGCAGCAACTGTGATTTGCTGCTGGCTAAGTACTCAAAGGTCCTCTGTGGCAGAAAATTATGTGTTTTCATTTTATAGTGTCCAGTCACTACTGGCTAGACCACAAGCCTGCCACAGAACTAGACATGAAATTACCAGAACTCAGGAAACTTTATATAGCACAAGACCAATTGCACATTTAACATGCTGGACTATCAAAAGGATTGCTAACCTCCCCAGCACTACTTACACTGTCTGTCTGCAACATCTCAAACGGAATTTTAGAAGTCTGTCTTTAGCCTTAGAGTGCTCAATGGTCTGGATCCAGGCTGCTGCTGAGAGTTCAAAACTACGACTCTTGTAGGCAGCTGCCTTTGTCAAGCATAGTGGAGCTGCCCTTCACGGAGGTAAAGTTTGTGTGGGAGTTTGAACTCCCTAAATCACATGGCCTAAAGACCACCTTAAGTGCCTCCATGCTCCATGGCAAGCACAGTGTGCAGGCATTTGATCTCAGCTTAGGCACTAAAAATATAGAGGACAGCAAAGTGTTTTCTCTCAGTCAAAACAAAAAAATTGCTCTTCCCTTTTCCTTTTCCAGCTCCATGAGACAAACTCCATATCCAACCCAAAACAGAGAAGCAAAAAAACCCCTGTAATTAGAACCCAATCCAAAACCAACTTCATGCCTGAGTCTTTTGTAAAGCTGCATCTTTCAAAAGCAAATAGTGAGTGAAACATACAGAACATATTGTCTAGCAACTCTTGGGATGTGTTCTCRGATGTTATGAGGATGAGGGCAGGAGCATGAGCTGAATAGAACAGAATGTAATAAAATAGGACAGAACAGAATAGAAACAAAAACTTCCAAGTTGGACTTTCTCAGGGGATGTAAACAAATCTTATTAATTCCTTTGTCCCATATTCTCCATCCTTAAAATATAAACAGTACAATATTTTTTGTCTTAATTAGAGTTTTACCCCATTCTTGCTGAAGTCCAGTGGCAGTGGAATCACGCTTTGCTTTATTCCATGAAACTCTTGGAAATGTACTGTGATTYTAATAACTTTTTCATCCAAAAAATGACATTAGCACAATAATCATATGTGACTTGAACAGTGAAGCATTACGGTRCTAACAAAAGGCCTGGCCTTATTTATTATTCACTAATCTCTAGGGTTTTGAAACCACTCAGTATGTACCGCCCTTATAAATTGTTTATATCTTTGCCATTCATTTCTAGCACAAATAGAACAGACAATGCRGTGTATACAGTTCAGAGCAAACATGTATAATGTAAGAAAGAAATCAAACTACTCAAATCCTTTCCTAAATTCTCATCCATGTGCACTGTTCTGCGCATTGCTTGGTGTTAAAGGTGCCCATAAACTCAATCCTGTTTTAGTTAGTTTGATTGGACATGCATGGCAGATTCTTTTAGTTGACTCACATCTGCTCCAATTTTATTAATTTCAACAGAAATATTGACTCATTTGGATTTCAGTCAGATTTTGACACTGATTTATGTGGAGGTTGAATTTCATAGACTGACTATAATTTTAGTTTTAGTGAATCAGTAGTCTTCTCATGAATGAGTCTGAAGTCCCTATAAAATTTTACCTTTAGCTTTTAGATTTTGTTTCTCTGATGTCACAGTTCCCTCTTAGGATATTTTTTTCCTCTTATGCTCTTGGAACTACTGACCTATTCCTATACCATTTTTCATACCATTACAGCCACTGCATTTCCCTTGGGCTACTGATAGGGTAAATGATGACTCTACTATTATAGTATTCAGGTTTTCATTATACTTGATGACTTTTATTTTATTAAAGCACAGGTGTAGCAGCAGAATTAAAAGTTTTCTGGAGCATCTGKTACCTCTATAATGTTTTATGCTGTTAGACATCAGAAACCTCTAGTAAGTCTTAAAGGCGCCTTAAAGACTAATGTGTGCAATAAATCTCCTGGTTAAGAAGTACTCCAGCCTGTTTAAGGAGAAGCACTCCAGCTGTATGTGGGATATGGCAATAGGGGTGTAAGAGAAGCAGCAGTATAGATAAGATACCAAACTGGTTCTTTTATTCCTAGCATTATTTTGGGGGAGAGCCCCTTCAAAAGTTGTGGGGAAATACTGAACTGATTAAGGTACATTCCTGCATTATGTCTTCTGGGACAAAGATGTTAGCAATTTATTAGCCTAGTTCCATTCAATCACATACAGTTAAACATATCTTTTTAACTGGCATTTTATTGCATAAAATCTGATTAAYGCTTCATTCAAGATTTGTGTTGCAATTAGTGATTAAGAAGGAACAAATAAGAGCATTTCTGTGGGATGCCTGACTGCCTCAAGTATGTTGCAAACCACAAGTCTGAGATCTAGTGACAAGCCCTCCAAGAAGTTTCATAGTTATTTATAAATACATCAGAAGAGATACATTACTGCTGTGGTAAAATAGAGTATTTATTTTACTTTATCCTGAATGAAGGACACAGGAGGTATTGATACTCAATTGAAGTGCCTTGGTTTAGTGGGCAGAGTTCCAGTTGMAGATGGGAGCCTTCCCAGGTGATTCATTCGGGATCATCACTTCAGAAAGAGGATGTCAGATAGTATCTATTGGCATGGTGGGTAACTGTGGCCAACTTTTACAAGAGAAAGGGATGCAGGTACATGTTTCTTCCTCAATCTAGCAAAAAGCTCTCTGTTACAACCTGTGGCTGTACAGAGGAAGACTGTGGCATGAGACTTTCCCATCAGCGAAATTCAACTGAATCAGAGAAATTTTGTAACATTCTAGTCAGTGTGATGCTTTGAGACAGGTGCTTTTCAGCGGGGAAACACTCACATTTTGCAGTGAAAGCCCTGGTGTGAGTATTGATTTCTAGACACAGGAAAGCTGWAGAAGGTATGTGACTAACAGACTACCACTTCTCTGAAGATTTTAAACTGCAGGAGATACRGGACGAGTAAAGGAGATCCTTTTAACTGTTAGCAATATCCACTTTTTATTGCTTTGCTGCTTAGTAAGGAAAATGCCCTATGTCCTTCTGTACGTGAGTTTCCTGTGCAGGACAGTGGATTACAGTGTGAAAGACTCTATGAATATTAGATAGTGACCTTCCTTGCAGAAGTACTGAGCATCTGGCGCTCGTGCTTTACTGAAAGCTGTGATCATTCTGTGTCACTGTAGAWCAGACCCAGCATGATCATTCTGTTCCCAGCACAAAGCAGGAGAGGGGCCTTGGCACTRCTTTCCCTTGTGTCACTKTAAGACAGCAAAAAAACTCKGTCYRGCTTGWRTAAAGCAACAGTGGAGCTGGAGAGYGGACAGCTCTGGGGTTCATGTCACTTAAATCTCCAGTTATCCTTTCAAAGGGCTGGTTCTTCAATCCCTTGCAAGGTGAACCTGCAAGGTTCGGCTTGGCAGCTTTTCATGAACAAAACTCTGCTTCAGTCATGGCAACCTTTCAAGAAAGCAACTAACATGTGAAAGCAGTTTCTAAACTTCTGAAGGAATGTACCCCACAAGGCAGAGCGGTGTTTGATAGGAAAGCTGACAAAGGTGGATGAGATTTTCTCGTCTGGTAAACTTAGTGCCTATTGGGGAYGGCTGTGTTGAAGTATCACAAATCAGAGCTGCTGAACACTGGCAGAGAAAAGAGATTGGGAAACAAAAAACCTCCTGCAGTCTCTAAACTAAGCATTTGATACATTTGACCAACTTCTTCCTGAGATTCTTTTGAGGTTTCATAGAAGTATGAGTTCTTTGGTTATGATGTTTTGTATACATCCCCATGCATTTTGTTATTTTTACCTGAAAAAGGCCAATGTAGTCCARCAGTGAGAATGATTGCCTTCAATATATTTTTAGTCTGATCACAACTTTATTTTTGAAAGAAAATCTAATTTAATATTTATTAACTAAGCATAATTTTCTAAAAATAGGAGAGGAAGGAAGGCTTTAACTCAGATTATATTCCAGCACATCTTTTTACCAGAGTTTTTTATACTGTGTTACACAGCATATGAACATTTGCTTTCACTGACTTCTTGTGTAAGGCTTAAAATAATAATGAAACAACTCTTGTTTAGTACAAGCCAAAGCGCAGGCTGAGCTATAGTACTAATATGACACTGCTAAAAATTAATAATACCATAAATCTTTCATTACAGTCCTTATCACATTAGTTCAGGGATTCCAGCTTCTGCCAGCTCACTGTGTACATTATGTCTGCACGTTATGAGAGTGTCATGAATATGAAGATATTTCTTAATTGACTTCTCATTGACATTAAGCCATGGCTCCTGAGCTGAAGTGACAACTTTTTAGTGCCAGAAGCCACCTCTGAGGGGAGAACACTGCTCAGATCAATGGAGGACAATGCACTGAAGAAGACCTGTGGTATGCCAGGTAGCCAAGATGCCAAGACCTGTGTGTCAGATAGTTCCTCTAAGCCAACTGCCAGCAGCCTGCAATCCCATTCAGTTTTCTGTGRTGGAAATGGTTAGACAGTTGATATAGTGCAGCAATGCAGAGCCTTTTTCCTAGTATTACAGCAGCTCCAATAGTATTCCAACCTTTCTTAGTTCCTCTGAAGCAGACAG